AAATACATCAACTTCGCGCTGTGGATCGCCGGATCGGCTTTCACTGTGGACGAAGCGGAGTCCAGCCCTGGGTCGTCATATGTGGTTGCCACAAACCCGCCGGACGCTCCTTCGTAATCAATAATAATTCGAAATCAGTGGTTAAGTTGTATTTACAACACTGTTCCAGAACAATGTGTTTTTTGAACCTTAAACCACATAAACACATTTCATTACACCAAATACACAAAATAATGTTCTTTTCATATGAACCCTTTAAGATGGTGCTGCTCATAGCTTTAGTAACAGCCAAGCGTGTGAGTGATTTACATGCTTTGTCTGTTAGCCCGTCTTATTTGCAGTTCGCTCCAGGGCTCACTAAGGTTTCCTTTCGCCCTAACCCTGCTTTTGTGCCTAAGGTAGTTGACTCAGCGTATAGGTGCCCATCTACTGAACTGGCAGCTTTTCACTCTCCTCCGTTCTCTTCTCCGGGGGAGCAGAAGTTGAATTTATTATGTTCGGTACAGGCTCTTCAAATGCATGTGAAAAGAACAGCAGTTTCAGGACTCATGACGGGCTGTTTGTGTCTTGGGCTACTCGTCAACGGCTGTCTCACTGGATCATAGAGGCTATATTTTAGCTTATGTTTGCAAAGACCTTCAACCACCTAAGGGCTTGAGAGCCAACTCCACATGGGGTATGGCTACATCGTGGGCCTTACTCAGGGGAGATTATGGTCAAGATATTTGTTCAGCAGCTAGTTGGGTTACGCCACATACTTTTGTGCGGTTCTATAGACTGGACATGTCTGAGCCATCCTTAGCACATGCAGTGCTGGGACCCGGTAGGTCTGTGCCCATATAATTGTAATGGGTGATAGCAGTGAAATGGGTGCAATCCGGGAGTGGTCTATTGGCGCTTTTCCACTGCGTGGTACGACTCGGCTCGGTACGGCTCAGTACGGCACGGCATGGTTTGGCTCGGCACGGTTTGCGTTTCCACTGCAGTTCAGTACCGCTTTAGAGTGGGCAGGATTATTCACATGTCGTTATAGTTGCG